CGAGCATCGGGTGATGAGGTCCAATCTAGGGCAGCAGCTATGGCTCGCGCTACACTGGCTGCGATTCCACTATCGTCCATAACTTTCTTCTTCGACTATCAGCAGCTTTTAGCCTTTTACGGAGACGGGGCAACGGTGGTTGATATAAGTACAGGAGCAACGGAGAGCTTATTTCAAATGGCGAGGAAGATGGAGAAAGGTTTGAAACTGAAAGACTTCGTCGAGAAATGATTTTTTAATCTCGAGTAAATTAGGCCAATAGAGTGGTATAGGCAAACTATTGGTACAGGCAAACTAATCTATATATATATATATAATTACTAACTCAAAACATTAAAGAAAACCTCATAAATTGACTATTGGTACAGGCAAACTAATCTATATATATATAATTACTAACTCAAAACATTAAAGAAAACCTCATAAATTTTACCTAGCTGGCACTTTTTTCCAATTCCCGCCAATTTTCGTTACATTTTATTTATTTTTCGTTTTTTATTTTCTTCAATCAAGAACAGCTCAATTTTGGGGATGAATAAATGTATAAACTTAGAAACAAAACAATTCTGCCATTAATACGAGTTATTGAAAATGTTCACAATTTTTTTAAACAATTAATTAGTCTGCTCAGTATATTATTTATTTTGTTATGCATAGTATCTTGAAATAAATTAACGAACAAAAAATAAAAATTAAATAAAAGAAAATACAACCACCATAAAAATAAATTATAAATGAATATAAAATTCAAAAACTCCTTCTCAGCAATAGTGTTTGCAATTCCTGCAAAAAGAAGAAATTACATATCAAATTAGTAGTAATTATCAAATTAAAGTTGCAGGCATGTATATATGGAATTATTTTCATCAAGCCGTTAAAACTATTTTCATCTAGCCTCATTGACTGCTTTCTTTCATCTAGCCGTTACAAGTTGAAAATCATTTAAGATTTTTTAACAATATAATTATTTTCGAAATGTACAGATCTTAGATCTGTTAACAATATCATATAATTAAAAAAAAACAGAACATATAAATTTTTGAAATTCATAGATCTCGATAGATCTTAGTTGTAATCGACCGATTTAAATCGAAGTACTAATAATCTGTAAGTCGATTTTGTAACTTGGTCTACTTTGCTATTAATTAAAAAAAAAAACTCCAAAAAATATTTTGAAAACGATAGATCTTCCAAGATCTTATTTGTAATCGTCCGATTAAAACGAAATACTACAAATCAGTAAATTGGATTTTTATTTTTCGGTCTCTTTTTACCTCGAAAATGCATCTTCGAGGTGTTTTTTTCCCAATTTCCGTTTGTTCAACGAAGCAAATCCCCGGAAAATCACACGTTGTTTTTCATTATCGGCGAATTTTTTTTAAGAAAGGCTGAGAAAAAAGGTTTGGGTCGGAGAAACTTAGAACAGAAGGAGAGAGACACAGAGAGATAGATCGCCGACACAAGCAGAAGAAATGACGTGATTTCAGCCATTTTAGGGTTTGGACCCGTTATATATTATGGTTACACGTATGTGGGCCACGTGTCTCTTTAACATCCTGCGGAGAAGTTTTAAACTGGGCTGGAATTTTCATGTTATAAAAACAAGCATATGGACGGGCTTAAATTGGTCTTCAACAATGCTTAAATTTGGCTGGATTTGGAACAATATGTATGTAATTTTAAATTTTGCTTTATTTTGAATGACTGACCCGAAAGCCGTATGGACCAAATATGCAAAGACTGACCCAAAATAGTTTCACTAGCTAAAAAATAAAATTATATCTAAACTTTTTAGCAATAAAATTTATTACATAATTTAACTATACAAATTTAAATATTCTGAAATAGGTATAAATTTATATGAAATTATTAACAATAAATTATATTATTACATTAATTCATCATATCCCATTAATAATAAAATATTTTCTTACACTTTTTTTGTTAATTAAGACAAAAACCGTTAACAATTATATTTTTTATTGTATCATATAATAGTTATTATTAAGATTAATAATTATATTTTACACTAAATGATATATGAAAGTTAAATAAACATAAAAAATTATATTGTAAAAACTTTTTGTTCAAGTTATTTATTCTAAAATCAATATTATATTTTTTTACTTGATTAAGTGATAGTATTAAAAAAATAATTTATTTTAATGTTATAGTAAAATTACTTAAAATTTCATAAGCAATTGTTATAATTAATTTAATATTTTTCAGCTAATTAATTAGTTATTATCTCTCAAATTTATAAAAATTACATTATTTCTAACATTTATGCAATCAATATAAGTGATTCATATGTTATTTCTTTTAACCAATGATTAATGTAAAACATAATACCATTTTCTAACTTATAACTCATAATACTCTATGTTTAAAACATAATACCATTATCTAACTTATAATTTTAGTATTATATACATATAAGTAACTCATCTGTGCAAATGCACAGGTCAAATACTAGTTAAAATAATTCATTGATGAAAAAATTATTGTCATTGGAGCATGTGCCGCTTTGGGTCTAATAAATGGTAAAAGTGTAATATCATCCAAAGTCAAGCTTTCAATATATGACACTAACAGCTGGTCCCTCAATTTTTGACTTCAGTGGTCGTTCGACTTTTGGTGTTCGACCCCAGTGACAGGTCACTCGATTTTCGACCTCATTGGTAGTTCGACTTTCGGTGTTCGTCCCCAGCGGCTGGTCATTCGGTTTTCAACCCCAGTGGCGGGTCATTTGGTTTTCGACCTCAGTGGTCATTCGATGTTCGACCTCAGAGGCAGGTCTTTCGATGTTCGACCTCAGAGGCAGGTCTTTCGATTTTCGACCTCAGTGGTCATTCGACTTTCAATGTTCACCCCTAGTGGCGGGTCTTTCGGTTTTCTTACCTCATTTGGATTTCATGTTCGACCTTAGTGGTGGGTCACTCAGTTTTCGACCTCAGTGGTAAGTCTTTCGGTGTTTGACCTCAGAAGCAGGTCTTTCGCTTTTCGACTTCAGTGGTCATTTGATGTTCGTTTGGGTCCCGATGCTCAATTGGAGGTTTGGTGACTATTTGGTGGTCGAGGATTTATTAAAATTATAATCTCAGTGGTAGGTTGACGGAAGTGAAGAGGAATTTCACTCTCGGATCGAGTCATGCTTACTCGACCAGAGTGGCGGGAACTAGATGATATAGGATATTATACTAGACCGGTTTTAATGGATAAAAAGGGAATATATTGGAGAATAAGCCTACAAACAGGCTAGTACACGTGGCATGATGGTATTGGACAATCCCAACTTGGGCCATAAGGTACACTTCCCCTATAAAAGGGGCTAAGGTATGTCATTTTCTCTACATTCATTAATATACACTTGGAATTTGGAGTTTTGGAGTGATATTGACTTGACGTCGGAGGCCCGACACTGGACTCCTCCCAGCGTTGGGTTCTTGCAAGTACGGAGGCCGTCCGAGTTAAAGAAGTCTGGGTGAATTCCATTTTCACCAATAGTTGGCAAACCTTATTCGTCCGGGCTCCTCAATATCCGCGCTATAGTCATTCATAAATTGTCTGAGTTCCTTACTGTTCGAGCTCTAGTCATTTTTAAATTGTTCGAGCTCCTTAATGTATATCTAAGTTGTCCGAGTTCTTTAATTTCCGAGCTATAAATGTGTCCTAGATACCCGAACTACCTAAGCCCTCATATTCCTGAACCAACCAGCCTAGATAGTCTTTGGTCTACGAACTGAGCTGGCCGTGACTAGCTCAACCGAACTATCTTATATACTATATCACCATTAGTCAAAAAATTTAGAGATAAAGTTATAAAAGACCCACACATACTAATAGGTTTGAAATTTCTAAGGGATTCAAAATTTACGCATTTGGGAATCTATATATATATAATTACTGGCAAACTTAAATAAATTTTATTCAGCCACAATTAATATGAGTTCATTTAATTAAAATAGGTATTCATTTAATAAAATTATGTTCAATATTTAATAAAAATCTTTATGACCACCATTCAAATGACAGTTACACAAGTAAAACCTTATTATTATTAATTTTTTATTCTGTAACAACTTTACAAGATTTTAAATTTTTCGAATATATAATTAAATTATATTTTTACTAATATTCCTATTTTGTATTATAATTATACAATAACAAAAAAAAAATTGATTTATACGAAAGTTAAATAATTTATATTTATATTATACATTTACATATAGTCAAAATTTTAATATGTAATACATACTTTATCTAATTTAAATTTTTAAATATCACATACGGTACATATAATATATAAAATTTTATTTTCCTCTGTGCATGTGCACATAATCAAATACAAGTTTCAATTTTTGAGCAGTTGACAACAAAGCAAATATGTGATTTAATCACAAATATCTGATTTAATCACAAGCGAGATATGTTCGGGAAAGAGGGGGGACAAGTTGATTCAAGGTTCAATGATTCAAATCCCGTGAGATTTCTCGATTTAGTTCATGCTTGCTGGATAGCTACATGAAAGGAGTTACGCTACGTTCGTGAACATAATCAACGGATTGTAAATTCTTGGATACTGTACAAAATACTGCTCCGCACTTTTCGAATATTTCAATTCTTAATTGCTGACTGGAGGTTGCAGTTGTTTTCGGCCGGAGCAATGAGATGAGAGTGACTTTGTGACGATAACGATTCATTCTTCTTGTTACGAACTTATATGATGATTGAAGGAGAAAATGGAGCAGGTAGAGTTTTAACTTTTAGTGGCCAAATTGGCATTACTTTAGCTAGAAGCCTCCTGATGCATGACAGTTAATGCATAAACAAATCACAAAAACGAGGGAAGCAATTAAGCAAAAGTGCATAATTACAAGCCTGCTAAACCTAACATCACATAAATAAATAAATAAATAAATAAAAAGAACTTCTCTCATTTGTCAATTTTATATAGAAAGATTTAAAACATGCCTTTGTATGCTATTTTGTTCAGAGTCCCAAAATGTGCTTTAAATTCATATCCAAATACAGTTAAAGTCTTGAAGATTACAATTTGGGCAGAGTAAAATGAAACCAGAAGAAGGGCCTAGTCAAGTAATTAACAGAGACTCATCAGGGGTGAAGAGAGGTATTTCTATTTTAGACCTTGTTTTAAGGATCTTCGCCATTTTCGGTACGTTAGGAAGTACAATTGCGATGGGAACAACCGACCAGACTCTTCCGTTTTCGACTCAGACAGTGATTTTCCAGGCTCAATACAATGACATACCGACTTTTAGGTCCGCAATTGAAAAAAAAAAAAGAAAAATAGTATAGATATATAATTTCATTACATAAATTACTTCATTTCATTAAATTTTTAATATTAATGTTTTGTGAGTGAAGGTTTTTCGTGATCGAGAGCGCAATAGTGTGCGGATGCCTTGCTATTTCTCTACCAGCGTCCATTTATCATGTTATCAGGACAAAGGCAATAAAGAGTCGGGCCTTGCTGATTTTCATTGACACGGTAATAAAAATTCCCTCTTCACTTTCGAAAATTAACTTAGTATAGTTTTCCACAGATTCATAATCCATATATATATATAAACTTTGCAGATAATGTTAGCTGTGCTAACATCAGGCGCTTCGTCAGCAGCAGCTGTAGTGTATTTAGCACACAAAGGAAATGCATCGGCAAATTGGCTTGCCATTTGCCGACAGTACCAAAATTTTTGTGAACGCATAACGGTATCCTTGATTGGCTCGTTTGGCGCTGTCTTAATCTTGATTCTATTGATCCCTTTATCGGGCTTTATCTTATCTAGGCAATGGTCTGTATAAAAGCAATAAATCGGTGGTGATCTACTGATCCTCTGCTGTAATTTCCAATGAACTTAGTTTTACGTCTGAAATTCAATAGTTCTCAATTTGGTTTTAAATTGTTGTTGATATATGAATTTTTGTTATTAGTCTTGTTGAATGTTGTTAGATGATACAGTCCTATACAAGAAAACCAACATGATATATGAACTGATGTATAGGCTCGTTTTCTTCCTTGTACAAGAAAAACTCCTTCATTAACTTTGTAAACCAACATTTTCCCAAATTGTCATGGTTCAAATTGTTTTCGCTCAACACAATACGTTCCCCATCAAATATAGACATTGAATTTTCAAACAAATAAATTTGTACTTTCTATATTTAGTATAAAAAATTTAGCTAAAAAAGTACACAATTTTTTATTTAAATAATAATAATAATAATAATAATAACAACAATAATAACAAAAATAATTAATAATAATTAACTAAACAAAGCAGTGGAACTATTCCGTCGAGATTTGTAACCGTTAGATCAACTATCCCCGACTGTTACATGATGATCTAACGGTTACAAATTCCGACGGAATGGTTCCGTAACGGGACCGTAGCATTTCTCTATATACTTTAGCAGAAACGCAAAATAGAGAAATAGAATGGTTACAATGGCAGGAGCCTGTTCGCTCATATTCATCCTCCCCACGGCAATCGCAATCCGCCTCCTCCGGAAGAGAAAAAGAGAGAAAATTAAGGGTTAGATTAATTATAAAGAGAGAATGAATTGATTTATATTTTATATTAAAATAAAATACCTACATTTGTATATATGCTATTAAGGTGAAAGTCTCGCGCATATAAAAAGAAAAGTTCAAGTGATCGTGACGTAGGCTTGTTTGGAAACACTTATTGATAAGTCAATTTCAAGATGAATTTTTTGAAAAGTAACTTCTCAAGAAGTGTCCAATATAAAAAATTAATTTTTTGTGCGAATTACTTTTTTAAAAATTCATTTTATTATTTACACCAAATATCTTTTTATATAAAAAATGGACTTTTTAGTCAAATAGTCCGTTACTAAAGTATTTCCGAGACAAGACGGAGTTAAATATTGAGCCCACGAAAAAAATTTATAATTAAAATATTTGTTGATACTTCTTTTGCTAGCCAACTCACATATTTCCCACCACACAGCTGTTACTGTACTTGGCAACTGTATCGAAATACGAACGCCGGCGACCGAGTGGTGTCTAGAAAATCATTCGGACGTACCTGGCGGCGAGTGCGGCGGAGACGGATACTTTCTCCTTTGACCTTCTTGAACTCGCCTCCGGCTTCACGGCGAATTGATGCGGCCTTCAAAATCGCGCAAAACGATGGCGTTTAGGATGGATAAAGGCTCGTCCCCTGCAATTTTCCGGCACATGTTCTTCACTCCGACTCAAATTGTTTCGCTACACGAGCATTTGCGCCGCCGTACTACACAACCGTCCGGCTATACGCTTCTGTTTCACAGCAAAGCAGTCGGTAGGTTTTTCTGGTGTAATTGCTCAGGTACCATACAGACTTATCACTCACTCCATCGAATTAGCTTTTTTCAGCTCAATTACGCTGTTCTTTCCTGTTTGTTTGCACCGTTTGTATTGATATATTTTCTGATTATTTGATTCGAGAGTGATATTACAATTTCTGAATTTCTATTTTTTTCTAATGATGTTGTCATGGTAATTAAGATTACAGATGTTTTATTTCAACTATGAGCTTATAACAAAACAGAGAATTTTTGACGATGCAGTTTTCAGCTGAAACCATTGGATGGTACTTAAATTGAGAGGAGTTTATAAGTTTAGTAAATTGGATAGTACTTACCATTGCAAATTTTATATGCAATAAACATGGAGATTGGAGAGCTTGTGCACTTTTAGGCAATGGAGTTGATTGATTACACAGCTGAATATTCTTAGGTTCGGACATGAATGACTAAAGTTAGTTTTAAATATATTTTTTTTTTTCTTTCCTTTAGAAAAGAAAGATGAGTCTTGATTAATGGATTGCTGGGATATTTCTTAGTCTGAGTCGTCCATTGACGTGATATCATGTTTAAGTTTAACCGAAAGCAAAGGGTTGGGAATTTACAGGATGCAACCATTTTTTGATCTGTTGGCTAGCATCTTAATTATGTCTATGTTTGGTAAAGCCAGCTACGCTGATATACTAGCTTATAGCTTATAAGTGATTTTCGAGCTGAATCTTATAGTTTATGACTTATAGCTGAGAAACTAGCTTATATGATAAAAGTGTGCGGTAAAATTAGCTGATAAGCTAGCTGAAATAAAATTTTCAACGAGATTATTTGAAAAGCTACCCTATGAGAAAACTCGAACTTTTTAAAAAAGCTCGTCCTACCAAACAAAACTTATTTGATACAGAACGCTTATAAGCTAACCAAATAAACTATAAGTTAGCTAATTTGGTTCCCAAACATAGCCTATATCTTGCTTCTTTAGCTTCCACTAACAAAGCATTATAAGATAGTGTTACTACTTTAGTTGGCACTAAGATAATAAACAATTGTTATGTATTCAAGGGTAACTTTGGAGGATTTTGGTTAATTATTAGAAGGCAGTGAATTGTATTATTACCAAGTACTGAAGTGAAATGCATAGTGAAGGGATGTTGGTATAGTGTTTTATCGGAAGGATTCAAGTTTTGAAAATTCTATATCATCTATCTTATGAACAATTCATTACAACTTCACTTTATTCGATTAAGGTCCACTATGCCCTTGTTATATTGATCAAATTTAATAATGGCTAAAGCTCCAAAGAATGAGGATGCTGAAATAGTGTCAATCAACAGAAAAGATGATAACTCTTCGCCAACAGTTGGTCTCAGAGTTGCTTAATTTGCATAACCTGTGTGTAAGAAAGAAAGTTTGATAAGAGCTGTATATGAAAAGAAGTTAGCTGAAACTTTAGCTTGATTTCTTTTCGTCATTTTCATTGTCGATTGCTTTTGATACGTTACATTACCACATTAGCATGTGTAACTCTTTCTGACAAGAAAAATATGTATGTAATAAACTACTATGTATATAGCTTATCCTGCTCAAAATGGGATATCCTATTTCTAAAGAGAGTTTAGGTAACATGTCTTCAAAAGGTTAATAGACTATCTTGTATGTGTATAAAAGTGAAAAAAATAAGTAGTTCCAAATTCGAAAGAAAGAAACTAAGAATTCGAATCAACACACTTTTCCTGGGCTGCATGCACTTCATCTGTTAGTTTTAATTTCACAAGTCTCCTGGACAGCATGTTATACAAGGGAATGCCTAATTGTTTCAAAGTAGAAAAATCAAAGTTCTTTATCTGATTACAAGACTTCCACTGAATGCTGAAAACCTTGGAGAGGTTAGGGCTCTAAGGGAATATTGGTAATGCGAGCAAAGGTGGAGAAGTGAATCAAATTACTGGAGAAAGAGGAGCTTCAACTAATAGAAATTAGGAAATTTGGGGGTTATCTTAAATGTCGAAGTTACACTTGTATATTACTACCATTTTCGATTTCCTTAGTTTGCTGCCTTATAATCAAACATAAATCCTGGTCCCTGAATTTGTTGTCTCCTTAATGCCTCTGCTTATTAGCATCTACTTGCCACTTACGATTTTCGTAATCTGCCATCTGATGCACTACATTCGGATTAATTAAATAATTATTTCTTATTCATATTCCTTTCCGGATGTTACTTTTTCTTCCATATTACTGTTAGTTATGATTATACTATTTCAGAATTCTGTAATTCCATTTTTCACTGATCTCTCAGCCCTTTTGAATGAATATGTTGCTCTTATTTCAGTGTTTGGTCATTTCTTTTGCAGTATGATCTTTTATTGTAATTATGGTTATCAATATTAGTTTCCATTTGTTTTTGTATTTGTATTGTTGTTGTACTCCGTTGTGGTGAACACGAGAATGATGAATCAGGTTACTGGTAATTAAGGTAACGTTATAGAAGAATATATGACTGTCTTACGTACCCTTAGAGCATCTCCAATGCTCCACTTTGAATATTAATTAAATTTGAACACATGTCAAATGATGAATGGAATGTAAATCCATGTAATATGAATGTCAAAAGAGAAGACTTTAATTTGGAATGCACATCTCCAATGCATCCCTTTCAAAAGATTAAAATAGGTTAGATTTTTTATGAATTGGCTTTCAAACACTCTTTGGAAAACTAGAAAGTGAGCTTCACACTTTGGATATTTATTGTCTCCATGTCAGCATAAAAGAGTCCATAACATTATGGATTGGAGAGTAATTTTTGTAATCACTTTATAACTTGATGATGTGGCTAACATTTTATTAAGTCAACATCACACATTGGAGATGCTCTAAGAGTTTTTTTCCATATGTGGGCTACGCTTGGGCCGTACAGTTTGTGTTTCTCTATCATATGGTTAAACTCACACAGGTTGCTAGGCCTACAGTCCTTCCATGTTAGAAAAAAAAATCTATCCTATCTATAATGCGTTTGTGTTTATACTCGTGTTTGTTTTGGACCTCCCTTTTTGATGTTTTATTTGCACCTTTCTCAAGTGTGCTGATTGAATTGTTCTTTTTTTTTTTCAAATTGATTGTCTTGTTTTCCTATTGTGCTTCTATTAATGTGTTCATATGCTTTCTGTGTTGTTGAATTTGAGAACACACATGATTTTCGAAAAAATATGTAGGCTATGGCTATATTTGGTAAACTTAGCTGATAAGCTAACTTATATCTTTTAAGTGAATTTTGAACTTATAGTTGATATCGTACGACTTAGGACAGAAAGGCTAGTTTATATGATAAAAATATTTGGTAAAATTGGTTGATAAACTAACTGAAATAAAAAATTTAACGAGCTTAGATAAACTCTGAGTTTTTTAAAAAGATTTGTCCTACCAAACTAAGCTTATTTTAATATAAGAAGCTTATTAGCTAATCAAACAAGTTAAACACAGTCGTATATGTAAGTTGAGATGTGCATAAATAAAATTATTGGTGTAGATATTGTTGCTAGATAAGCTAAATTAGGTATAGGAATGTGATCAACGGTTGCTTGTGTACATGCTATTGCTA